GCTATTCAACTATAGAATTATGATTTTTTTTACAACGTAACCTCCGCACTAGGATTTTCTCCTGTATCGTGGGGGCAGTTTATAAACATAAATTGCACAAGGATAAACATCTAGACCCGGATCAATTCTTTGTAGGCCATACAAATGCTTGTTCCGTGCGGGATTCGAACCAGTTGCCCTTAGCGCTGGAACTCAATTGGTAAACTACTACAGCGCCACGGAGCCGTCAATTGCCGCAGGAATATAGAGATTTAAAATATATATTACTGTTACATACTACTACTACTTAAATGTCTTTGGCTGCTGCTAATTCAATCGTAAATTGAGTGCGCAATGTAAGGGTGCCGTAGATTGGTGGACAAAAGCGCCATCTCTATTGGTTTACGGGTACTTTTATCTATTAACGTTATTATTATAGTATTAACCGTTTACCTGCAGAGGTCGCTTTTCAATTATCCATGGAATGTAAATCGCGAAGTTAAGTTTTGTTCAAATTGAATGACCTCAACGAAGCGTAACATGAAATTCATACTTACCTGGCGTAGGGGATACCGTGATCAGGAAGGCGGTTCCCCCAGGGCGAGGCCTTTCCATTGCACTGCGGTTAGGTTGACCCTTGCGATTATCCCTAATGTGAATAACTCGGACGCGTAATTTTTGGTAGTGGGGACTGCGTACGCGCCGTCCCCTATATAAGTATAATAAAAACACCTATGTTTAATGTCTAGACTACTCAAAATGTCGATCATAGCCATTATCGATGTTGTTTGGACATGTATTTATTTAATAGGTTAAGATGATCAAGAGTTAGACTGTTCTGTGGCATTCTTTGAGGAGGGCTATGGTCAGCAGTGGACTTGTGAAGCGCTGCCAACTGTACGATTTAAATCTTATTCATACAATCTTTTTAGTCCTAGTACAATGTACGATCATACTGTAATTTGTATTCGAAATCATACGCAAATATAAGATCTTTTCAAATCTTATAATCTATAACAAAATAAAAATGATAATTAATTAAGTTCATTTTATTTATATGAAAAATCAAAATTGAACGGGCGCTAAACTTTTTTGTATTTTTTATGAACGCATCCAATCCAATTCTCTATCCCACTCGCACTTTAAAAATACGCAGCGTTTTATAGTTATTCCGTCAACTCGTTCAAGTTTGTTTTAGGTCATTCTATTCGTTCTAATTCAAATAATGTTACACACCAGATGACCAGATGGAAGTTAGCGTAGAACATTCTTTTTTTTAACTAAACTGTATGCCAATTAATTGCTCCAGCAGAATCCGAAATTGCTCCACCTCTATTGTTATTAGTTAATTTATAATTAATTTAAAAAAAAATTAAGTATCGAAAATTTTATTTTGCTATAAAATATCTACTTTTTAAAATTAAACTGTATTGCAAATTAATTGCTCCTTATATGCTCCAGCAGAATCTAAAATTGCTCCACCTCTATTGTTATTAGCTAATTTAAAATTTATTTAAAAAAATTTAAGTATCGAAAATTTAATTTTGCTATAAAATATCTACTTTTTAAAATAAAACAGTATGCCAGTTAATTGCTCCTTATATGTTCCAGTAGAATCCGTAATTTTTCTGAAATTTTACTGAAATAAAAAGGTATATTTGGTACATATGTATCACATACTTATGTATTTTTGGTTTTAATCTTAGTTGTAGTAGGTACCTATATTTAACAACAAAACTAGCTATATAGCAGTCTTCACGAAACAATATTAGTCAAGCTTTAAGATGTTGTAGGTACATAATCTGTTAATAGTTTAATTATCACAGTTAAAATATTCTTAAATAAATTAATTTTTCTTCAAATTCAAAATATTTATGTTAAGTGTTACATTTGGCGTTAATTTAAAATACAACGTATCTTACAACTTAACCACCCTTTATGGGTATAATAGGTCTGTGACTTATATAACTTATCGATCATAATTAATCAAAATTACAAAAAAAAATTACACAACTTATAATAAAATTCTAAGAAACATATTGTTTTGGTTGTAGCTAAATACTCTTTGAAACACAAAGCGTGCACACAATGAGTGAATCGCGCTCTTACTATTTTGCTGGCTCCTGGCTCACTTGATCCGTTCATGATTCATGTACAGTAGCCCAAACTCGAGTTGAAAACTCGAGTTAATTAGAGCTAGGCCCGCCACATACATACGGAATTCCGTTTCCAGATTCCGTTTCGGAATTTCGAACGGTCGGCCACACACAAACGGAATTCCGTTTTGCCCGCAAAATATCGAACGGAAAACTACCGTACGTGTGTGGCGGGTCATAGATTTTACCGTGAATACACCATACACATACGTTTTTTTTCCGTTCGGAATAACACGAGTCAGTTGAGAGAGGTTAGCCATTGAGTCTAGACATTCTGCCAGCGAATAATGACGACGATTTTCTAATTGCGATTCCATTGTTGCTGTATCATACTTACTAGGTGCATCTCCTTATCACCCTAAGCTTGCAATATAGTCAATACTATGTAAAAAGATCTATCTATCCAGAGATATTTTTAAAAATAAGATGAAAGGTTACGAAAAACAAACATAAACACGCCTACTTGCTTCGGTCGAGCGACGAACACTGAGCGATGTGTGTTGCGTAAAAAATCTATGGAAGACGTGCGTTCGGAGCGGCTTTTTTCCGTTCGGGATCCCGAACGCACAGGCGGTCATACGGAATCTCGAAACGGATAAATTCCGTACGGAAAAATAACGTACGTGTGTGGCGGGCCATAGATTTCATATGGACTTGCTGCGTTCGGAATCCCGAATCGGAATATCGTAAAGGAATCTCGAAACGGAATTCCGTGAATACATCACACACACACGTTTTTTTTCCGTTCGGAATAACAAGGGTCAGTTGAGAGACGTTAGCCATTGAGTCTAGACATTCTGCCAGCGAATAATGACGACGATTTTCTAATTGCAAATTCCATTGTTGCTGTATCATTCTTACTAGGTGCATCCCCTTATCACCCTAAGCTTGCAACATAGTCAATACTATGTAAAAAGATCTATATATCCAGAGATATTTTTTTAAATATTTATGTATGTAAATTCTATCGATGAATTATTAAATAAAATAAGATGAAAGGTTACGAAAAGCTATACACCTACAAGATTAAATGTATAAACATACATAAATAAACCTACTCGCTTCGGTCGTGCGACGAACACTGAGCGCATTCCGTAGGGAATTTACGTATGTGTGTTGCGACTCGTACAAAATCTATGGAAGACGTGCGTTCGGAGCGGCTTTTTTTCATTCGGAATCCCGAACCCACAGGCGGTCATACGGAATCTCGAATCGGAGAAATTCCGTACGGAAAAATAACGTACGTGTGTGGCGGGTCATAGATTTTATATGGACTTGCTGCGTTCGGGATTCCGAATCGGAATATCGAAACGGTATCCCGAAACGGAATTCCGTGAATACATCACACACACACGTTTTTTTTCCGTTCGGAATAACAAGGGTAAGTTGAGAGACGTTAGCCATTGAGTCTAGACATTCTGCCAGAGAATAATGACGACAATTTTCTAATTGCAAATTCCATTGTTGCTGTATCATTCTTACTAGGTGCATCCCCTTATCACCCTAAGCTTGCAATATAGTCAATACTATGTAAAAAGATCTATATATCCAGAGATATTTTTTAAATATTTATGTATGAAAATTCTATTGATGAATTATTAAATAAAATAAGATGAAAGGTTACGAAAAGCTATACACCTACAAGATTAAATGTATAAACATACATAAATAAACCTACTCGCTTCGGTCGTGCGACGAACACTGAGCGCATTCCGTACGGAATTTACTTATGTGTGTTGCGACTCGTACAAAATCTATGAAAGACGTGCGTTCGGAGTGGTATTTTTCCGTTCGGGATCCCGAACGCACAGGCGGTCATACGGAATCTCGAATCGGAGAAATTCCGTACGGAAAAATAACGTACGTGTGTGGCGGGTCATAGATTTTATATGGACTTGCTGCGTTCGGAATCCCGAATCGGAATATCGAAACGGTATCCCGAAACGGAATTCCGTGAATACATCACCACACACGTTTTTTTTCCGTTCGGAATAACAAGGGTAAGTTGAGAGACGTTAGCCATTGAGTCTAGACATTCTGCCAGAGAATAATGACGACAATTTTCTAATTGCAAATTCCATTGTTGCTGTATCATTCTTACTAGGTGCATCCCCTTATCACCCTAAGCTTGCAATATAGTCAATACTATGTAAAAAGGTCTATATATCCAGAGATATTTTTTAAATATTTATGTATGTAAATTCTATCGATGAATTATTTAATAAAATAAGATGAAAGGTTATAAAAAGCTATACACCTACAAGATTAAATGTATAAACATACGTAAATAAACCTACTCGCTTCGGTCGTGCGACGAACACTGAGCGCATTCCGTACTGAATTTACGTATGTGTGTTGCGACTCGTACAAAATCTATGGAAGACGTGCGTTCGGAGCGGCTTTTTTTCGTTCGGGATCCCGAACGCACAGGCGGTCATACGGAATCTCGAATCGGAGAAATTCCGTACGGAAAAATAACGTAAAATCTATGACCCGCCACACACGTACGGTAGTTTTCCGTTCGATATTTTGCGGGCAAAACGGGATTCCGTTTGTGTGTGGGCGACCGTTCGGTATTCCGAAACGGAATCTCGAAACGGGATCCGTATGTATGTGGCGGGCCTAAGCGCAACGTTGACCCATCACTAGCGTAGTTGGCTAATCGCATTGTGAATATCTGTATATTTTGATAAGAAATCTGTAGTCGGAACTTTAATTAATTTAATACGTCGATTCATGCAAACCGGTCAGTGAATAAGTTTTCCTCGTCTAACTTAACACTGTTCACCTTCACTATTCACACGGTTCTCGGTCGTGTACGTTGTGTCTGGAAATGATATTGTGAGAAATTGTATACGTACATAAATGACTCTTCACAAAATGCGTGTTTTTGTAATTATATCGTTACTATTTGCTTTGTGTAGGAGTGAGATTAATGTTAACAAGACTAGTTTACATCATGGCCTCACGGAAAGAATTGGCAATTTTTCCATCGAACTTTTATATCATACAACAACAACACAAAAACAAGTTCAAAATTTAGTGATGTCTCCATTTACGGTTTGGACAGTTTTAGCTGTAATAGCAGAAGGTGCATCAGGAGACACACTGAAACAAATAAGTCACGCAATACGAATAGCACCACGAATGAGAGCAAAGACGAGAGAAGATTTTCGAAGAATCGCTCAATGGCTACAAGTAAACACTTCTACAGTAGATCTGGAGAAGTTCAATGCTATTTTTGTTGATGAACAAAAGCTACCACTTCCAGATTTTATTGATATTGCAAAACAATATGAAACTAAAATGATCAAACTAAACTTCAGTGGTAGTCATACCTCTGAACTAATAAATACCGCAATTAGTAATGTTACTCATGGAAAAATACCGAATCTAACTGATAGTGGTGATTTTGGTGAAACACAAATGGTTCTAACAAGTGCTTTATATTTTAAGGGTCAATGGAAAGTGCCTTTTAATACTACCTCAACATCAAAACAATCATTCTTTGATAGTAACGGTAAACGAATTGGTGAAGTTAACATGATGTATAATCGTTACAATTACCCCTTTGCTAATATAAGGGAACTGAATGCTAGAGTTATAGAGCTGCCATATGGTAAAGAAAACAGGCTTTCTATGCTTATTATGTTGCCCCATCAAGGTGTTTCCCTTCAAGATATGTTCTTAAACTTTAATAATGTGCCTTTAGATGCAATTTTTGAAAACTTGAAGTTATCTGTTGATGAATTTGGTGATGAGGAAGTAGACTGTTTCATTCCGAGGTTCAAGATAGAGTCTAACATAGATATGACTGATATTTTAAAGAATCAATTTGGTATTAAGGATTTGTTTGATGAATTAAAAGTAAGATTACCTACCATGTCACGTATACCAATGTATGTGACTAAAGTTTCACACAAAGCGTTAATTGAAGTAACTGAAGAAGGAACAGTGGCAGCTGCTGTAACAGGGGCTGATTTCTCAAACCGTATTGGTGTTGTAAGGTTCGAAGCTAATAGACCATTTTGTTATTTAATCATCGAAAAAATCACAAATTCTATAGTATTCGGAGGGTTTTATCAACACCCATCTCTATTTTAGTAAATAGCATTGTCATTTTGCTACCTTTTAAATAATAGTTTGTGTTATGAAAGAATTTGTGTTCATGAAATTATGTTAATGAATAATTTCTGTGTTGAGAATCTCAGGAAATTTATTTCTCCAATATTCTTTTATTCAAAAGCTATTTAATTTTATATTAAATAAGTTTATCACTGTTAAATTCTGATAAACACATATTATTTGTCATCAATGTGTTAGAGATTTATATTTTTCCTTTAGGTCAAGTGTAACATCCTATCTGTTTATTTATACTATCTTAGAGTTTATTATTAAATGCCTCTGATAATATATAAGTAAATACAAAATAATTGTTTACATATTATAAGAATTGCTGAAACTGTGATAAAATGGAGATGTTTTTTTAATACTTATTTCTAAGAAGACACAACAATAAAATAATATTTTAGAACATTAAATAAATTTGTTTCACTTAGTATAAAATCATAAATAATGTTAAGTTTAATTTATAAAAATTTATTGCAACTACCCTTTTTACATATTTGATGCTATTCCACCTAGTAGTTAGTTGCAGTGGCATTGTACCCTTCAAAAGTAAATTGTTTAATATAACATAGCTTTGATTTTGTTTCCCTCTGTCGCCTCTTACAATACTCACGGGATGAGATGGGATAGTGGATATTCTTACATTGTCACTACAAGGTAAAAAGTAAGATAATTATAAATAATTTATATATATGCAAAATTTAGTGGCAAATATTTTTTTTATCATAATATGTGGGTAACATGGAAACTAGATTGTGCAACCAGTGCGTGTTGCCAGTGATGACTTGTAGATCTGAGATATGGTCCTTCACTGCTGGCTGTATAAGGACACTCAAGGTCGCTCAGTGAGCTATGAATAGAATAGAATATAATAATTTTTTATTCAATATTGATTATTACATAATACTTATTGAAAGTGATTTTTTATTTACCACTGGTTCGGAAAATACCTCAGTACTGGGAAGAAGAAACATGGATATGGAGATGGAGAGATAAACATGAATATGGAGAGGGCTATGCTCGGGATTTCTTTGCATGATAAACTCAGAAATGAAAATATCCGCAGTAGAACCAGAGTAACCGACATAGCCCAACCGATTAGTAAGCTGAAGTGGCAATGGGCCGGCCATGTACCTCTAAGGACTGACAACAGATGGGGGAAAAAAGTTTCTCGAGTGGCAGCCTGGTACCGGTAGGCGGAGTGTAGGGCGACCCCTCACTAGATGGAGTGACGACCTGGTGAAGAGATGCAGGATGTTGATGGATGCAGGTGACTCAGGAACGTGCTTTGAGACATTCCTTGGGGGAGCATTGAATATAGGCCTTCGGCTGTAATGATGAATAATGATGTGGGTAACAAACAGGTATATCCACTTCATTTTTTTTGGCTATGGATATCTGCAACCAAATCTAAAGAAGAATTATAAGAATCTTAATTTCTAGCGTGGTCCTTCCCCGGTCGAGCCGACCCATTCGTGCTACAACCATGAATATTTGCTTCATGGCTACAACTATACTACTAATATAGCTGCAGCATGGCTCTACCACATATTATCGTAATATCTCATCATCATCATCATATGATAATATTGTAGGATGACACCACTACGTAACATAAATTGCTAGAAAAAAGTAATCGGTTTACTGACCTTGGAGATATTGTGTTACAATCATTAAAAAAGAAAATGTATTCGATAATTAGGCAATATTTTTTTATCAATTATTCAATCAATATTGCGTCATATGGAGTCATAAAAGCTATTTAAATATTTATTATATACATAGAATTAGGTATCAATTACCAAAAATTAAAGAGCCGTGGTAGTTCAGGGGTTAATTGCTCGCTGTAAATCTCACAGTACGCGAGCAATCCCGGTGCGATCCCCGTCGGCACCAATGAAATTGTTAATGGCAATTTTAACTGCTGATTTACCACGTGCTCCACGGTGAAAGAAAACATCGTGAGGAAACCATATCTAAGAAAAAAGAAAAAAAAATATTTGGAAGACATGTGAAGTTCGCCAAAACGCATTGGGGCAGCACGGCGGACATTTTCTTGCCTTAAAAATAAAACCTCAAAAATGAGAGGAGGCCTGTGCACAGCAGTGGGATGTAAATAGGCTGCAACTTTTCTTTTCTTTTACTTCTTATACTATTATTTATATTCTGTGCTTTTACCAAAAAATTATCCATTTATTGGCGGTATAACAATATTCCCTATTTTATATCATCCCATCGGAGTCGTAAAATACAACAGAGGGAATATAGGCTGTGATGGTAATTAATGATACAAAATGAAAACAAAAAATCAATCAAGGCGCACCACGCGGAATATCAATGTGTCTTCATTATTTACCTTCAATTTGTGTCTGTTTATTATTTAAATAATGGCAATTTGTAATGTTTAATTAGCGAGAACTATTTCCTCTTAATGCCAATAACATTTTCCTCATACAATTAACATAACAATGAAACCACCATTTTGTGTTTACATTTTATAAGTTCTCATTGTATTATGCCAGTTGAGAAAACAATGTCGTTACATACGGTATGTTACCTAACAATGCAATGCAAATCAAATGCATATTAATTAACTAATTTAATAATCATTATGTGAGGGAAGAGAAAATATTAATTTGTTTTCAACCGACTTCAAAAAAGGAGAAGGTTCTCAATTCGACTGTATATTTTAATGTGTGTTACCTCAGAACTTTTTTCTAGGTGAACCAATTTTGATGATTCTTTTTTATTTGAAGCTGGTGCTTCTCATGTGGTCCCATAGATCAAGATCTGACCAGTAGTTTGTGAGTTATCTTTAGTAATGCGTGTTTAATTGACTTCGACTACATTGATTATGTATTATCTCATTTTATTTACTTATATTGAAGTCGGTTGTACAAACTTTTTAGTTTTACCACTTGCATATAGATTTTTTTGAGGTGATGGACTCAGACGGTACATATGCCAGTGTCAATTTATAAGAAATTATACTTTTTAATAATTTGTTTATATATAATTCCTTCACAATATGTAGACGCATCACATTGCGAAATTTTTTGAAGGTCGATGACGATAGTATCCCAATGCGCTGTAACAGACGCAATAACTTGAACATTTGAAATTCACATCATCATCGAAACACTTTTTTCATCGTTTCCACGAATAGTTCACATGCACAGACATTTAATACACAAAATTGCATGCCATGGTAGCTCACAGAAAAGCTATAAAGCATAAAACGCATTTCGATTAATTACCGAATTTTTTTCACCAAGCGAAACGCAGAGGTAAACCTCTACTTCACGCTGGTATTCTGTGAGGTCGTGGTACCACCCCGGTTCGAGCCGGCCTATCCGTGCGACAGCAAAAGCTGCCGCGTGGCTCTACCACTGTTTAACTGGTAGCGGAATCAAATAAAAAACTACCCCATGAGGGTACCAGCATCCTGGTGACGGAGAATCCTTCGCTGAGCACTACGCTCAAGCGACCCTACTGTTCCTGGGTGTGGGTGCTCAAGCTGCCCCGCGTATTCTGGGGGGGGGGGGGGGCAGAGATCGTGATCCTTGGTGATTTTAACTACCATTACGCCGAATGGCTCGGTTCATTATTTGTTTATGACTGCCTTGGCATATGGTCTTACACAGCTGGTTACTTTGCCTACGCGGATTCCAGATGTGAAGGATCATGCACCTTCTCTGTTGGAACTTCTGCTGACCTCTCATCCGGACGGATATCAGGTTTCCGTAGACACCCCTCATGGTTCCTAGCGCCATTGACTTGTCCGGAGGGTGGTGTCACTCACACTATCGTCGCGGTTGCATTCTGCAGGCTACCGCCGTGTTTGGCACTGTAGGTCGGCTGATTGGGACCCTCCCGAACGGGTTCCCGCCTTGTCGTGGCTTAGTAGCCGTGGCTTGGTCAACCGCGGTGAACAAAGAGGAACTCCTTGGCTGGCCCGAGGTGGACACTCCGAGTGGGCTTGACGAGCCCACTTCGGATGTGTGTTGGTGGGCTGCGGTGAGAGGGGAGTCCGCACCCTCTACTGCTGCAGCCGAGGTGGAGTTGCGGAGGAAGAGGAGTGTTGTGACTCAGACAAGTGTCAGTGGTGGTGGGGCTGCGGGGGGAGAGGAGTGTCGGTATTGCGAGGCGCCGCTCTCCCTACCCTCCGCAGCCGAATCTTGGTTGGCGGCGGAGCCATAGACCAGATCCGCCGCTGGGGTCAGGAAGGCTGGTGCGTCTGAGTGCTGGTTTTTCCTGGCCCCATGGCCTTCGCGCATCGGACACGGGGACGTCTCTGACTTTGCCTTGGCAATGACTCTTTTGAAGGACCTGGAGGCGAAGTTATACTTCTTTTTAAGTATGCTGGTGTTCACATCCCGAGTCGCCGAAGCCGCAGCCCAGGCTTGATAACACTCCTGCATACTGCGTAAAGCAGCCTTACGGGAGCGACCAAACCAAGGCTGAGATCTGCCTCCGATGGGTACCACAGATGATGGAATAAATAGTTCCATTCCCTGTAGCACCACATCAGTGACAGAGTCAGCCACAGCGCTGGGATCATCCGGCGAAAAGCAAACCCGCCCCCATGGGTAGGAAGCAAAGAAAGACCGCATTCCGTCCCAATCCGCCGACCTGTAATGCCAAACACGGCGGCAACCTGCGGAACGCGGATTTAATTACAGCGAAATGAAAGCTGGTGGAAAACCGGTACTTTAAGTCCTTCAGAAGCTTTTTAATTCCGTCCTTCATGGAGGTACTACTCCGGAGGCATGCAGCAGAAGTACGGTGGTCTTGTTCTTTAAGAAAGGCACCAACGCTCACTTGAAGAACTGCAGACCGATTTCCCTTCTGAGCCGCGTCTACGTGCTGTTTTCGAGAGTGATTACGAATCGTGATACGGTGGTAGAGCCACGCAGCAGCTCTTGCTGTTGCACGTATGGGCCGGCTCGAGCCGGGTTAGTACCACGACCTCACAG